GCTCTTAGAGATAACTCTTCTCCTGATTAGATGCTCATATGGCCTTTCTTTGGTGCCTACATGCAGAGAGAGAAGGACCTTATGAGTTTCTCTTTTTAGTAAGAATTCTGATCCCATCCTTTTTAATAAGGATACTGATCCCATCTCATCTTTTTTTTTTTTGATTTTTTTTTATTGGTTGTTCAAAACATTACAAAGCTCTTGACATATCATATTTCATACATTTGATTCAGGTGGGTTTTGAACTCCCAATTTTACCCCAAATACAGATTGCAGAATCACGTCGGTTACACATCTACATTTTTACATAATGCCCTATTAGTAACTGTTGTATTCTGCTACCTTTCCTATCCTCTACTATCTCCCCTCCCATCTCATCTTAAGACCTAAATCGAATCACCTCCCAAAGATCCTACCTCCTAATTCTATGAGTTTGGTGATTAGGGCTTCAACTCACTAATTTTGGGGGAACACAGACATTCAGTCCATAACACCACCTAAGGAACTCTGAGATGATTCCTCTCTGTAAATCTTCTTTAATCAGTCCTTCTCAGCTGTGCCCCAAGAAAGTATATGTTGCCTTTTCTGCTTATTCACGCCCCAGACACTTAGCCATGGTAGGTTTATATCTCGAGTTGTTTTTTCTTTAACTAGGCCAGAAATCAGCAAGTGTTGTTGGAAATATTTTAGACCTTGGGGTCCATATGGTCTGTGTTGCAGTTGCTTGGTTCAGCCAGAGATAATATGTAAATGAAGGGGCATGGCTATGTTCCAAGAAGACTTTTATGGACACTGAAATTTGTTTTATATAATTTTCATGTATCAAAAAATATGCTTTTGAAATTCTAAACATGTAAAAATACAAAGCCCTTTCTTTGCCAGTAGACTGTACAAAAACAGACCATGGGCCAATTTGGCATTACAGTAGTTTGTGGACCTCTGTACTGAATCACAAGTTTCTTGAGGGCGGGGCTGAATTTATTTTCTAACTTGTATACCCAGCACCAGTATCTTTAAGACTGATGGAAGATAAATATGTCCCAAGTAAATATTTAAGTCTATCATTGCTTTCATAGTTACATATGCTTTCTCAGTATTGTTCCAAAATTTAAGTGGGACAATAGATGAATTCCCCCATAGAACATAAACTAAATTCAGATTTGTGGTCTCTTAGTTTATTACATCTTTGTGGCTCCTTCCCCTGTGATCTTGGGTGTTCCCTAAATGCAAGCTGACTTTAACCCCTGTTGAATGTGCTCGGTACACTTGTGATCTTGTAGTAATCAAAGTTCTTATGCTTTCCAGTGTGGAATGTGGCCTTACTCCCAGAACATGAAACATATTTTAGCAAAGAATTTTAGATTCATACTTGAACAGAAAGGAAACTCTCTTTCCAGTGCTCTGTTTTATGCCCTTCAGACTTTTTAAAAGTTCAACCACAGCATTCGTCTTGAAAATCACAGAAATTTTATTTGCTCAGTGTTTATTCCCTACACAGGTAAAAATAACACTTAAAATCAAAGGTAAATGAAGTGATTCTTTTGAATAATCTCTTTAAGTTGTGGAAGCAAACAGACTTACATTCCAGCAGGCTGTTTGAGAACCAAGACATTAATCACAGCTCCAGTATAACCACATTTTTTATAACAAGGCAAGATGATTATTAGTCATGCTTGCCCACCTGTAAAATGCTGACTTGACTAATATGTATATTAACTGAATATAAAAAACTGTTTTGGCATCCTACTCAAGGTCGTGGATAAGACTGTGATCTCATCAACCTATGTTCATTATCATGCAGCACCGTTATCTGAAATGAAGCTTTATGTAGAGACACATCAGCAGCCCAAGTCAACAAGAACCAAACAGAAATTGCAGTGATTGGATTGTGTTAACTCATTTATATAAGTCATTTTTAAACATATGGATAATAAAATCTGATCAATTCAGTTTAGAGCTTTTTAACACAACGCTAGAGGTCACCTAAGATTACATTCATTTGTGAATTTTTTTTGCAGGTGAAATTTATGCATGTAAACCATTAATAAAGAAATATACCTAATCCTTCTCAAAGGAAAAGCTTATTTCTAGTAGTAGAAGAGATTATAAGAAACAGGAAAGGAGCTTTCTATGAGAGAATATGCAAATGTATCTGAAGAAGTAGATATTAGAGATAAATAGCAAAATTGGTAGCATTTGCTAAGAAAACACACACACACACACACACACACACACACACACACACCAGACAAACCTTTGCTCTTATTCTTATTGCTGCCATATTCATTACAAACCTCCTTTCTTGACTTGACCATGACATTGGCTTATTGCTCCTTGTTGGAAAACTGCACACAAGATATTTAACAGAACAATTTTCTTTAGATAGAACTTTCAATATATTACTACTCTGCCCTACAGTTTCTATGTAGCTTTTTATTTGATGGCACCACTGTTGGTCTGTAGTCTGTTTGACTCTGGTGTCTTTTAATCCAATGTATGCCTTTCCTTTATTGGTTTTTTCTCAGCTATCACCATGGTCATATCTCTTAGAGTCTATAATAACAATTTCATGTATTACTGCTAGGAGTGTGAATGTGTTAAGTTTCTCTGCAGGACAAAGCCTTAAAAATGTATGCATGCTGTATTTCACATAGACATTCCACTTCTAGTCATTTCTTTAAGGTGCATTTAAAAATGTCTATAAAAAATAAGACATATATGAATATATAATATCTAAACATATATTATGTATGTAAATACATAGTATATAAAAATGATATATGATACTATTATATAATGCATAACATGTTATATATTATATACACATAGTTGCAACTATTATATATTTTTACAACTCACCACATAGTATTTTCAATTATTTTTATTGCCACTGTTTTTTTTTAAATAACAAAATTGGTGAGTGCGTCCTTATTTGTGCTTAGTGGGAGACCTATCTATATTACAAAATACCTAGAAATCATTAGGTGATGATGAATACAGGGAAATTTTTATTTACTTACTTTATTTATAAACATGTAAAGTATTGATGTACCCAGAGTATATTCTTTTAAATTTTGGTTTTTTACTTTGCTTTATTTTCTTTTTTAAAGATCTCTACTAACTTGCTGTTGTTCCTCAAATTAATCCTGGCTCCATGAGCCTAGGTTCTAGGGCCCTGCATCAACTGACTCTCAGACAGTAGCAACCCTACAGAAGTCTCGGCCATTTCAGTGTTCTATGGGAAGGTTCTCCTGGGCTCATTCCCAGCTGTGCTCCTGTTTATGTACTTTCCTCTTCAACCACTTCTATTCAGGGTTGGCCTCCATCACGTTTCAAGGTCTCCCTTCCTGCTCTGCTTGGGAAACCTCCCCTGATTTTCCATGTTTTTCATGTTTGTGTCATCTGGTCTCACGGTATGTCTCAAGTACACAGGTGTTTTGGAAGAGAGCCTGGAGTCATCAGAAGAACTAGAATATGATTGGAGAAAACCCGTGATAGCTTCGTTTTAGATTATGTGTCATTTTTAAGGCTGTTTGGAAAAGAGAAGCCACGAGCACATCAGTTCTTTTTGCTTTTGCTCTTTTTCTACTTAACTGAGCATGTTTTTTTTTTTTTTTCACCTCTGAGGAGCTAGACAAAGGAGAAGTCATATTTTAATTTCTTATCCTCAGTTTTGCAAGGAAAAACGAGGTGAAATTCAAGAATAGGGTTTATTCTGTAGAATAACATTTCCTTTACCTCCTTGTCCCCTGTTCCTTTATTTCTACTGTCTTTTTCCCTTGAGGTATATGTGGGACTTCATTCTCTGCAAACATTTTCTCTCCCCCTTAATCTCCAGTCTCGATTCACTCATGTACTACGCTTGGTTTGAGAACTATGGCAAAGAGAGAATTGTATTTCTCTACCTTTCTGTGTTTCTCATTAAACCATATCTTGGCCCCCTCAGCAGTCTTGCTCAAACCCTCACATACCTTTTCTCTACTCCATACCCTCTGGGTATGAGGTATATTGGTTTTCTTTATTTCAAAACTAACTTGACTTATTTTCTATTATGAAAATTTGAAAACATATACAATTGGAGAGGATAATAAAATAAGCCTGTCATATATCATGCAGATTCAATTATCAAGATTTTCAGTGTGTTTATCTTTTAAAACCTAAGGTTATCTTGGTGTATTGGTTCATATATATTATAGCATCTGTCATTTTTTTCCTTATGCTTATCTGTTTAGCAGTTCTGGGATATCTGGCTTCCACAATTATTTCTTGGCAGAATGGCTTTCTTATTTATTATTATTAGAATTATAAACACATATTTATAGTACAAATTAGTGGGTTTCATTGTAGTCTTTCCATACATACATACATACATTGCAGATTCAACATTTAATTATGCGTTGTCAAGATGACAGTGTGTAGGAGTAGAAATTAAAATTCACCAAAAATATCTAATAAAACTTCTATGTGGCCACTTTGGGCACAGGCTACAATTTGTTTAACAAGCTTTCTATAGAAATTATTATGCAATTATTATTTCTATTATATTGAATTCCCCTTTAAACCTGTAAATTGAATTTTTACTTCTAATTTTTGTAATTAAAATATGGTCATATGAGTCGTTAATATCATTTGGGGGAATTATCAGGGAGTATTATTACTTGTGAACCTCTTTTTATCTGCATGCTTTTTTCTTCACAGAAAGTCTTTGAATCAGTAAGTATTTTCAGGGTGTGCTTAACTACTCTCATACCATAAGCAAAAGGAAACTTCCTAGTGGATAATAATGGTAGTATGGAAAATTATGAAGTACATTGTGCTTGTAGGCATACCTGACTCTAATGGAATAGAGCAGTGTTATGATATTAGCTTCAAGTGCATGTGAAAGGTTAATCATTTTCATACCACTCATGAATAACTCATCTGTTTTGCAGGATATTGTTCACAGTTGAAATTCTCTAATTAATTTTTCCCTGTTTGTTTTCTTTTTCTCCTTTCTCTAGCTCTTGTAAATGTGAAACTTTGGGCCATTGATCGACAATGTTTTCAAACAATAATGATGAGGACAGGACTCATCAAGCACACCGAGTACATGGAATTTTTAAAAAGGTAGGAGACTTTCTTTTCTCTTTTGAAGAACATTTTTTTGTAGTTTTTGAAATGCAGCAACATGGAGACTTTTCCCATTATTTCATTCTTAATAACCTGCCAATTTGTAGAAGAGAAGACCTTGGATGGGCTTCATTATATTTCCAGTGCCAGTTTTCAGAATATGTGGTTAGGTTGGAACTTCTGAGGATCATCCTATGTACTCACTCATTCAGCATTCTCTTAGAGATGTGTAGCTCAGAGAAAGGAGAGAGAATTTGCTGGAACAGAAGATGATACTGAGTTCATTTTAACTATTTATAAGTTAATGCATTATGTCACTTCTTCTAAAAAGACCACATTGGAAGGCCAAGACATCTCTTAAGTGAATTTCCATATGAAAGGTCAGATGACTAAAATGGAAAAACTCTAAGAAGCATCTATTTAATTTTTGTTCCTGAGTTTAATTTCTCAAATTAGATTCATTTTATATAACAGTTCTCAAATATCAAACCTTTTCTTTTCTTTGATTATATATTATGACAACTTAATATAGGGTGGTAATAGTAACTAAGAAGCCAGATTTTCATTTTTTAGGAATACACTGATATTCAAGTCCAAATTTGTTTTAAAGAAAATCATTTTTTTATGATTGAAAAGAATATTGAAAATTATGATGCCTTAAATGTAATTATTTTTGTATTTCTTTCATTTAAAAACAGAAGTATAATTAAATAGTGAGGCACAGATTATGTGAACTGTGAACTAAAGGGAAGTGTACCTCTAAGATTTCATTTTGAGAATGTTTATTGTTTGCTGTATACTTTCGTTTTGTGAATAAATAGTTAAAACAGAACTACCAAGTTAGAGTCATATTTTGTTTCAGCGATACATTTTAACAGGTATCTATTGAATTTAATATTCCTTTCTTGGGTATCTTTGTGGTTAATTCATTTGCTTCTGTTTCACCCTTTATGCATTTTTTTTGTATCCACATGAACTCTTTTTGCTATATCTCTACTGAAGGGTCAGTTGCTTTCTAATTTAAATCAAGTAATGTATTAAAATATTACTGTGTCTGCAGGGTGACTTTTTTTTTTCTTTTCCTCACTGTGATTGGTTGAAACATTTAGAAAAGGTGGAAATATAAATTTCTTTTGAAGTTTAGAAGGAAATTAAATTGTTCAGTTGCCGTGTGTGTGTGTGTGTGTGTGTGTGTGTGTGTGTGTATGCATGCATGCATGAGTGTGGATTTGGTGAGAAACACAGAAACAGAATTAATATTTCATTTTAAGCTTTAACTTGAAGTGCAAGAGTTATAGATTTTTTTTTCTGATGCAGCCCTGATAGAGATTCCAATTGTAGTTGATGAAATGGTCTGATGTTGATTTTAGCTTCTATACATTTTTTTTCTGAAGGAGATTGAACCATTCTAATAAGAACTCCTTTATTAGTGGGTGGTACCATTTTAGGAGATGGAGATGTCTTCCTGTGTTGTGTGTGTGTGTGTGTTTTAATTTACTCTGGAAATATTTTCTTTTGTGGGGGAAGGGATGTTACTGTCAGAGCTGTCTTAGTTTGTGTGATCTGTTCTGACTATTCAAACTTTAATACAAGTTGGCTCTCCAGAGTGAGTGCACATATTTTGTTGGCCAGCTAAGAGCAAGTAGAGTTTACCTGGTTGAATAAAAAAGAGTTGAGTTCTGACTTTGATATCACTTTCCATCTGGCCACTCTGTAAAATATCAAGTTTACATTGTTTGTGACCCTCAGACTGGGCTGGGGGTCCAGAGGTACCAGAAGGACCATCACTGCCTGCTTTAATCTAAATGGTGGCTGTGACTAACTGGTTCTTTTCTACAACCGTTCATCGGCTCACAGTTCCTGTTGAATTATTTATGGCACCCCCTGGACATTCCTGGCCCTTTTATGATTGAGACCAGCCAACTTTTCCAGCCTGCTTTCTTCTTGCTCCTCCCAAAGCAAATGATTCCACATACCCACGTGTTCCCTGTATCTCTGTGTTTTCTTCCAAACTGTCAATGTTCAATCCTGTCTTTTTTGCTTCAACCAAAAACTTCTTCCACAGACTTGGGCCTCATTCTATGTAGCATTAACCTCTCCCTTCTCTGGTTCTTCATTGTCTGCTTTGTTTGACTATAATTTGACTACTGAGCTTACTTCTACTTGTAGAGTATAAACTTTTCAGGACTAGTATTATTCTTATATCTCTTGATCATTTTCTTTGGCATAAAACTTATTGCTTTATAGATAGTTTATAGGACACCAACTACGGGACCAATGCATAATTTTCATTGCAAAACGACAGTGCAAGGCTCCTTTCCCCCAAATAATTAAAAATGTCATAATGACAGCTCTGCATTAATTAAAGCATAATTCTTCTGCCCTTCTGAGCAGAAGCTCTATCCTCCTCTACAAAGCACACACCCATGAAGCTGGAGACAGCAGAATTCATTCCTCCTTCACATTCCTGTTTAGTTAACTATGTTTATTGTCATTTAGTTCCAAGGCTCTTAAGAAGTGGCATAATCATATAATCAGGTCCAAGGGAAATACTAAAAGATATTGTCAAAAAAACAGGAGACCAAAATTAATTAAAACTTTCTACTATAACTTCAGAATCATTTTTTTCTATTAGTTGTTCATTTAAAGATTTTCTGATTTTTGCTTATTACTCTTTTATATCATAATGTTAAGGGTTGGGGATTTAGCTTAGTGGTAGAGAGTTTCTTAGTATGTGTGAGACCCTGGCCTATATCTCCAGTACCACACACACCAAAAAAAAAAAAAGAAAGAAAAGAAAAGAAAAAAGAAAGAAAGACAGACTTTGCATAGTCAAGTCAATGTACTTTTATTTTATGACTTCACGTCTAGAAATGCATACCTAGCTTAATATTATAAAAATATACCTAATATTTTAATCTTCTCTATAGCAATCTAGGAAAGGTGGATATTTTTCTCTGTGTTAAATAGAATGTTCATTTGAAATTTTTTACTATAGATATAATTTTCTTTATAGTTTGTGATGGAGTTAAACTGTAAGCAATTGTGACATTATCACAAAATAAAAACTCTTACGAATGATAATGTACACCATTAAAATTCTTCCCAGTAGAGAAGTCTATTGTCCCTCCCTAATTGAGGAATGTCAGAGACAGCATCAGGCTGAAAGAGGAATGATCCTGTAGCATTGATCATCTTCCCAACCCTTCCTCCTCATTTTCCTAAGAAAACACATATGTTTAGAGGGTGAGAAAGGGAACACACCAGGCATATAAACACACTGCTGATATACCAGGATTTTTCCTTATTGTCAAAGTTGAGTTTTATTTTAAATCCAATGTGTTTACTCATTTTGTAGCTACACTCATGTGGTTTAGATCCTTCTTTGCGATGATTAGATGTCACAGTAAACTCTGATTCTGGCTCTTTAATCCTGTTTATTCATTTCACTTTTGTGCTTGTATTTCACATTCCCTGATGTAACAAAGGTGTTCCTATGCAAGCATCACAAAAAGGAAACAAAATAACAACAACAACATTAAAATAATAAAATAAAAACAATGGGCAGTACTACTAAGCATGGCATGATTGCTATAGGTCCAGAGATAATTTTACCATTTACCAACATTGTCCATCATCTCTAGCTACTGAAAAAGGCTGTTGTTTTTAAAATGAATTCTGAGAAATGAGCCAAAATGGCCAGGCATGATGGTGCATGCCTATAATCCCAGGAACTCAGGAGAATGAGGTAGGTGGATTGGAGGTTAGCCTGGACAACTGAGTAAGACCCTGTCTCAAAATAAAAATGACTGGGGATGTAGTTCAGTGACAGACACTACTGGCTTATATCCAAGAGCCAAGTAACTGCCAGAGTTAATTTGCATGGCTTTTCTCTGAACATATTCTCTGGTGCTACTGCTGGAAGTGGCATCTATACTCAGAGGAGCTTTACAAAGTAGCTGTGGGCCCACTGGGTTCTCTGTTGGCCTCAAACTCTGGTGAAGATGACAATGATGATGGTGGACGCCTGTTTGTATTACTTTCTTCATCAACAAATCAAAAACACAGCAGGAATTTTTTGAAATTTAGGCTACTCATTTGGTCCTACAGATCCTCAAAAAAATCTTTCCTCTGTCTATTAGACCATCATTCCAGCATAAGGCAGATTAGCTCATGCTGTTCCTCTGGCATAGAACCTTCCATTGACTTCTTTCACTTCTAGAAGAAAGCCTACCTAGGTGTACTTGTCCTCAAGGCCCTGTCTTATGGTTTGGATAGGAGATGTCCCCCAAAGCTCCTGTCCCACAGGAATGTTGAGAGGTAAAATTATTGCACTGTGGGAGCTTTAACCTATTAAATCCATCCTAGTTTGAATGAACTGGATGAGAGGTAGATGAGACATGGCTGGAGAAAGTAGGGGTATATCCTGGAAGGCTGAATATTCCCTAGGGCCTCTTCCCCCCTCCACCCTCTCTCTCTCACTCTCTCTCTGCTTCCTGACCTTTCCATGAGGTGAACAACTTTCCTCTGTAGCATCATTCCTCCATGATGGGCTGCCTCACTTTGGGCCCAGAACAATGAAGTAGGCCCCTTATGGATGAAGACCTCTGAAACTGTGAGCTCCAAATTGACTTTTTCTCCCTTTAGTTTTTCTTCTCAGGTATTTTTGTCAGAGCAGCACAAAACTAACAAACTCTGTCTTCTCTAGCTACTGCTGACCTCTCCAGTTCTCTGTTCATCTTCTCGTATTTTCTCATTCTCTTTGCCACACTCACATGTTAGTTTTTCATTGCTTGATGTCCTTCATGCTTCCTCGTATTAGAGATTATACCAAGAGAATCCTCTGCCTTTGAGGGGAAATTATGCAGAGTGACCTATAGAGAAGCAAACTGAGTATGCCGGTAGTGACAGAATATGGAACCTGAAATCTGATTTCAGGCTTTTGATTTCCCTTCCATGAGTTGAATGGGGCATTGCAACTATCTGCCATCATGTTT